AAAAAAAAAAAAAAAATCAGAGGCTACTTCGTAGCCCGAGACACAAATTAGTCCGACGCCTCTTGACATGTGACTAGGATACCACATTTTTCCCACCATCTTCGTGCTTCATGTTGGCAGTGAGCGGACCGACGCTAAATCAGATCGAGAATTGGCGAATACCAGCAAGATAGTAGCCAGCTTGTACTCACTGCAATACTTGTGACAGGCTACTCGCAGGTGTCAGCCAGGGAAAACTCAAGGTCGGCAAAGCTAATGGTCTCACTCCTAAAACATACTTTTTCCAGTCATCTCAAATTGGCCATTCTGCGCCGTGACATTTACGATGTTCATGCGCAAGGGCTTGGCTCGAACTGTGCCGTATGCCGGAATTTCAAAATCATAATTCGCGGGACCACGGTTTCTTTTTTTAGCGTCGACGCTTATTTATTGTCATAGATACCACTTCCATGCGTCCCGGTAGAATGAGTGGCCAGGCCATGGTGCGCAGGTCCTCTGGGTCGAATTGATGAGCCGGATCGACCTGGTGATCCGGACTCAGGCCTCGAACCGGGGCCGTCCAAAGGTAGCCGAGCTCGAGCGGCCTGGTGCGCATCAGCTCCGCCATGTAGCGCCGGAACTGCGGCAGACAGAACGACTTGTCCTTGTCGGCGTTGCGGAATCGTCCGAGGCTCCCCTGGCTGACCGCAAGCTGGTACTCAGGATGCGAGCGGGGGAGATTGTCGGCGTCGAGGTGTGTCGTGTACGAGTCTCGCATCTTCCGCCAATTGTCGTCCGAGATTGGGACGCACTTAGCCTTGGCCTCCTGGCAGCACGAGCACTTGTTCTGCTTCAACGTCTTGAAGCGGTCATCGATCGGGTCGAGGCAAGTCGTGTGTCCGTCACCTGGCATCCTGCTAAATTACAGCTAAGTGAAGCAAGCCTCTACAACTTTTGGCTTCAGCCCCATCAGCAAGCCCAGCTCCTTCAACAGCTCAGCATGCCGAGGCTTCGCTTTGCTTCAAGACTTGCGACCGCGGGTGGGAAATTTTCCTCGTTGTCAAATAATTGTGAAGATACCAAAGCATGAAAGTGTGAGAGAGACCCGGAAGCCCCGCTTTTCCCGAATTCTATGAGCTCGCAGCCATTTACTGTACAATCACGATTCAATCGTGCATTATATCTAACTTATCGCTGATCGCATGCCCGTGAGCTTTCTGACCACAGTCGATCACGATTTATCATTATCCTATGTTTTTGAGATTTGAGGGAAAAAAAATAAAAATAAATCATAGACCGGATTGCTTTGTAGGGGGTAATGAGCAGGACTTGCAGAGTAATGTTATTTATTCTCACGCAGGACCTTCAGGCTGTTCTGCATGAACATGGATGCCACCCGCGACCGAGACTTGCCTAAACAAGAATGATCTATTGCGGTCCGTGCTGCGTCAAAGGTACCAGAAATTCACGCTGGTGCTGATGGACAGGCTCTGCACACAGTGGTACCAGCCCTTTGGGATGTAGAGCACATCGCCTGGGCCGAGCTCTGTCACGAAGGCGTCCTCGCTAGCGAGCGCGGTGGAGAGCAGAGGACGGTCGTGGGCGGGATGGAGAAGATCGTGCTCTGATGCGATGGTCGAGGTGTTGCGCTGTGGACCGGTTTGGTTGATGTAGAGGTAAGGAGCAAGATGTGGCGCGAAGAGATGGATGCGTTTGCGACCGACGACTTGGGCAAAGATGTTTTCGTATGGGTCGCGGTGCAAGGGGGTATAGGTGGCTGGCGGGCCGATCCAGGTATTGCTGCGCCATTGTTCGTTAGTGCCCTTGGGTCCTGCGGCTGTGTGCGGCAAGGCGGGTGCTTCGGCTGCGAGGCTGGGAGCTTTTGAGAGGAGGTCGAACTGTGCCAGGTAGCCGACAGGCTGATGCTGTGCGGCTTTGCCATCGTTGCTCCAAGGGATCTTGCCCTGAACGAAAGCGTCTATGAACAGGGCTGCAGTGAGAACGAACCGTCATGTCCTAAGTTCGTCAGCGGAGGGGCGGGAGACTGCAATGGAGCTGCGACCGCAACTTACCCAAGGGCATCTCGATACGGTCCCAGTGTCCGGGCGCAGCGTTGTATCCGACATTCGGACGAGAAATCTCGACGGGAACGATGATGTGTGCGGTGTCAGGCCTCTTGAGGCCGTCGAGAGTCTCTTGTCCGTTGGCGTCGAGTGAAGACCATCGGTGGAGTGCGGGCCAGACCACCTTGTCTTTGGACGGAGTGGAGGAGAGCAGCGTTTCGAATCGGGCTGGGCGTTTTGGGAGGAAGAATTCGTGGACAAAGCGAGACGTGGGCAGGCCGTCGCGGATGGAGAGCAGACGCCTGACCCACATGATTCGGCTGGCGCCCGACGCCAGGGAGATGGTGGTGGCGAGGTGCGATCGGACGGTGCCCGACAAGAAGATTCGGCTCACTGCAGCAAACGAGCCCAAGCACAGATCCGTCCAAAAAAGTGGAGGCGAGGCCGATCCCATCTCACAATTCATCCGAAAGGCAAGTTCCGATGAAGGCACACTCAGCAACCGGGCCACAACGCTTCAAGTCAAGACCCTCTACCTCACGCCGGCACGCCAAGTGGAAAGGATGTGGACAGTGAATGCTTGGGGAAAAAATGATGCATAGTAATACAGAGCGAGCAAGGAAAGAAATGGCAAGCAGAAAGTGTGCTCTAGAAACGGTGACAAATGCTACCCGGGTGCGGCCTACATCAACCAGTCCCAGAAGCGTTCGAGGGTGGAGCGGGTGATCTGGGACTCCTTGATCTTCTCTGCCTCCTCGTTCTCGTCGATCTGCCTTCGACCGGTGTCAAAGTCCATCTGGGAGAGGCTGACGAACTGGGTCTTGTGGTAGAACTTCCAGCCGAGCCAGAGGACGACAAACATGGGGATGCAGATGTAGGTGGTGACGAAGCTGCTCGTGCTCCACTGGCCGTTGAGGAAGACGGTGAAGCCGGCAAAGAGCAGCACGAGGCTCAGGAAGACGATGCCAAAGTAGGTGAGGTAGGGCTGGAAGGGCGCAGTGTAGGGGAGCGTGTTGCGCGCGATGCCGTGGAACTTGAGGCCGTGGTAGAAGCGGGCGTAGGTGCACAGGATGATGATCCATGCAATGATGATCGAGATGGCCGAGATGTCGTAGAGGTACTCGAACGCCTGTTCAGCACCGCCGGCGCCGCACGACATGTAGGCCAGCGGGCCGAAGAGCGAGGTGACCACGAGCGCCCACACGGGGAGGCCGTTCTTGGTGCACTTGCGCAGGAAAGCGGGCGCCTTGTTCTCGAGCGCGAGCGCGTAGATGGTCCTGGAGGCGGCGTAGAGATCCGAGTTGGCAGCGGACCAAGTTGTGACGAGGAGCACGGCGTTGACAATGTGGGGAAGCACGCGGATGCCCGAATTGCTGATGGCGAGCACAAAGGGCGAGGCGCTGGCGTCGCTGCTGCCGTTGAGCAGACGCGGGTCGGTGTAAGGCACGACGAGGCCGACCATGAAGATGGCGAGGACGTAGAAGAGGAGGATACGCCAGAAGACACGCTTGATGGCCTTGGGCACGTTCTTGCGCGGGTTCTCTGCCTCGCCGACGGCGACACCGATAATCTCGGTACCTGCAAACGAGAAGGCGGACTGGACAAAGACGTTCCAGAAGGCGAGGAAGCGACCGAATGCGCCGCTGATGCCGCCGGTGGGTCTGCCGGTGACGGGATCGGGCTGCCAAAAGAGCTGGGCCATGGGGCCGGGGTCCTTCCAGTAGCGGAATCCGATGCGGTCGCCGCGAGGGCCGCCGCCGAGGTCGATGACGAGCGAGGTGATGATGAGGACGATGATGGCGACCACCTTGATGAGGCAGAACCAGAACTCGGTTTCACCGTAGTACTTGACACCGAGCGCGTTGACGCCAATGACAAGGACGAGGAGGATGGAGATCCAGGCGGCGGGGTTGATGGACTGGGTGGTGTCCCAGTACTGGATGACGATGGCGGAAGCCGAGATTTCGGTGGGGATGGTGATGCCGTACGAGTACCAGTAGGTCCATCCGAGGGCGAAACCGAGACTGGGGTCGAGGAAGCGGGTGGCGTGGTGGGTGAAGCCACCGGGGACGGCGAGGAGCGTGCTGACTTCGCCAAGTGCGACCATCATAGAGTAAACGACGACACCCATGATCATGTAGGCGATGAGGGTGCTGACGGGACCAGCGTTGGCGAGGGAGCCGCCAAGACCGACGAAGAGACCAGTGCCGATGGTGCCGCCGAGGGCGATCATTGAGAGATGCCTCTGCTTGAGGTTGCGCTGGACGTGACCGTCGGGCGAGTCCTCGTCCATGCCGAGGCGTTCGATGGCCGACGGGTCATTGTAAGCCGCCTTGGCATAGCCATCGGACGAAGGGATGGAGGACTTTTCCATGTCGGGCGAGAGCGGTGTTGAAGCGATTCCGTCGGTGGACGCCATCGTGGCGGCAGAGATCGATCCACTCCGAAAAGCGGAAGGTGTGACAGAAGGGGGAACAGTCGGGTGCTCCGGTGCAGGCAAAGATGTGATGGGAGGGAAAGAATTTCGGGAAAAGACCGAGCAGGGGATTGGCATATATGGGGAGGCTCGAGCGGCGCGGCCCAGGAGGGCCAATCAAACGATAGCCGTATCTGACTGGACTGACAGATTTGGCCGGAGAGGAGAAAACTTTGCGGCGGCGTGGGCAGTTTCATTTTTTTCTTTTCGCAAAGTGGAGCGGGCGGAGAATTTTGGAGCGGCAGTCCAAGTTCAAGTCGAAGTCGAGGCGGCGCGCAGTTGGATCGGCCGGGCCGCCGTTGGTATCCGACGCGCCGCCACTCGACCAGAGGCGAGGCCGAACCTGAGTCACGCGAACAGCGCTGCGGGGAGCAAGAGAAGCTCTCTGCTCTTTTGCCACGCTATCATCGCCTTCGGATGGCCCTATTGTGTGTGACCCAGCATGCTTTGGACGTGCCCAAACGCCCCATTGGCCGCCGATAAGACATAGTTCGAGAGAAGCTCATCAAGCGCAGACACTTGGTAAGGTTCGAAAGCGCGGGAGCGAATCAAGTGGCGGCAGGGTGTCATGGCATGCGCAGCGGGCCTTGCCAAGCTCGGGTGGGCGGATGTGATTGGACATGTTTGCATTTCCACCTGCCGAAACTGTTCCGCATTTGCTCGCCCAACTTCGGCGCTTTGTCGGCGCACTCCTTCCACACCAGCCCGAGCTTGTCTGTGCTCGCGGCTCGTACTGGATCAAGCTCGCATTCATCCTGCTCTGAGCCACGTCTGACAGCAGAGCGTGGGCACCCGTAAATCATTGATTTTCTGCTCGGTGGCCAAGAGGCGGCGGCAAGTGCCTGTCGCGCTGCGCAACCCACGGTACGGACAAGCAGGCGGAAGATCAAAAATCCTTGCCGCGGGTTCACCCAACTCGGCTCCTTGACAGCCAGCCATTCCCGAAAGTTTTTCCTCTTAAAATTCACCGAACCCGACCGTCATGACCGCCTGCCAGCCTCGCACAACGCCGTCCGAGCCGACGCGTCAGGAGCAACTCCTGCCACCGACCCTCGCCACTCGCCGTGAAATGGCCCGAACACCTCCGCCTCCGGAACTCTCGGCTGGCATGACTCGCCCGCCACGAGGCCCTAAGGCACCGTGCATCGTGCCCTTGCAGCGCTGTGTCGCTTTGCCCCGCACAACAGCCCCTGGGACTTATTGATCATCGGCAGCGTGGCATCTTGCGAGTCATTCGGATCTCGCCGATCGCGTCACGCCCGCTGTGACTTAACATCTTGAATCCGTCTTTGTCAGCATTAGTCGTCCAGCCTCACTCCACTTCGAGGACCACAGACCCTGCAGCCAAAAGGCCAATCTTTCTTCCAGACCTGTTTCTTCCTCTCACACCACGCCAACGCCAACACTGTCCTTCTTGATCGAACGCGGTGGAATGGCTGCCAATACCAAGGGCAAGGTGTCCCAGCCTGCTACGAGGCACAGCGCCTTCCACGACTTGGACGACGACGATGACGACAATGACGCCGCTCGCTCCACCCATCGCTCATCTGGCCGTCAAGAGGAGATCATTTCCTTTGGCCGCAACGGCGCTCAGAAGCGCACATCGTCTCCTCCCCGCTCCGCACCACCCCGCGTCATCCCAGTCGCGTCCAATCTCGATTGGCGCCAAGACCGCAAGCAGCGCATGGGCATCGCCACCAACTTGAAGTCACTCGGTCCTCTCGTCTCCATGAGACGCGCAGACTCGTCCGTCGTATCCGATCCCTCCCAACACCATGGCACCGACAACGCTGCAGACGCCATCAACGCCGATGCTCAGAAGAGCGGCTTGGAAATCCGCCAGCCAAGGACTCAGCAGGCCGTCGAATCGCATCCAGCTCCCAGCAATTCCGAGGAAACACCTGCGCCCGCACCAGATGCATCCGTTCAAGGCACCGACGAGGAGGCAATCAAAGCTCTTCTGGCGGGCGATGACGGCGCAGCAGAAGTCGGAGCTCATCTTGTCATCCCACAGGAGGATGAAGCCGAGTTCCTCCAGCACGACATCGAATCCAGACCAGAAGCGCCTTCGCTCGACGACTATGCAGCCACTCCCATCGAGCAATTCGGCATGGCTCTGCTTCGCGGCATGGGATGGAAGGAAGGCATGGGAGCAGGAAAAGGTGGCAAGGGACCTCAGCAAGCCGCCGAGCCCAAGAAACGAGCCGCCTTGCTCGGCCTTGGCGCAAAGGAGAGGGCCGTCCCCGCCACAGGTTTGCCTTCCTCATCCTCGTCCCACAAGAACCGAGCTTCTGGTAAACGCGACTACAAGTACGTCCCCATTACAAGAGCCGACAGTCCGGCCACTTCAAACACGGGTCCTCGATCGCGCCACGCCAGCCGCGACGACGACAAGCCTCGCAGCCACACATCATCGCATCGCGACGAGCGCAGATCAGACACGTCCGATCGCCATGCGGCTTCGCGCGATGGTACCAGGCATACCGACTCACGCTCGTCTCGAAGACGCTCTCGCAGTCCAACGGCACGAAGGGAAGATCGGCACCGGGGAAAGGCAAGGGGGGAAGACGACGCTGCCAGGCGCTTCCATGCTGCTTCGAGCTCCAGTCGTGAGCACAGGCGTGACCGCGATCGAGACGACAGGGACAGGCACGACAAACATCGCGACGACCGACATCGAGATCGTCGTCGCTGAATGATCCACATTGTGCGCTCAATCATCAATATACCCAGCCCACAGCCTATGTAATTCGAACGCCAGAGCCAATCTATGCCGAGCCCCATCAGAGCGTCGGTGAGCGGTGAGATGTGGGATGAGCAGATGCCTTTCGCCAGTTCGTTGCACTTTGAGCTCGGTGTCCGGTGTCAAACGGGGGCCACTTTGATTTTCAGGTCTTCCTCCGTACCTTCCGATGCACGTCTGCATGAAAATCCCGCACGAGCGTGCTCGTTTAGGTGTGTTGCTCTTTCCCGCACCTCGTCAAGCTCGCGGAAGCATGTGTGCACTCTTGCATTCCGCTCGCCTTTCTTCTTGCACATCATCACTCCCACCTCCTTCGACGCCATGCAGACCGCGCGTCTCGCATCGATCGGAGACCAGCTTTCGAACTGGTCTCAAACACCTTTGCATCCCCTCTTCCCCGTCGGCGCGCTTGGACTGATCCATGCAGTGAGGGTCAGCCATGCTACACGCCAGGTAGCAGGAAGCCACAAGAGCCGTCTGGGCGTGTGGCAGGGTCTGGTGCTCAACCAGATCCTCATGTTTGGAGGTGTCGTGATCAGCGGGATGCTTCTCGGTGTTCCGTCGCCGCTACTGAGCGCCTGGCCCGTCGTCGCGCTCTACGGCGGAGTCCATGTCGCACTCGATGTCACACCTGCTGGCAAGGCGTTGCTTCATGCCCAGGACACCGAGCTCGTAGGAACACTGTGAGTACACTGCTAGCCCCATAGTTGCGGCAGGGCGACTGACTTTCATCTTTCGCATTGAATGTAGAATGGATCTGTCTTTCGCACTGCTCGACGGCATTCTTCGAGCCGAAGGCATCATCGATCTGGGCGTCGAGCCGGTAAGCACTTTCCCCACCACGAATCCCTCCATCACCTCTTGTCATCACTGACGCATACCATCTCGATCTCACGACAGGTCTTGCGGCACGCATCTCACCAAGTCGCCACCTCGCTGTTTGCCATTCTTCTCAATGCTGCCATCGTGGGTGGAGGCATCCCTCTGCTCATCGATTTGTTCCGCCTTGACTCGACGACGGGAGAGTGGGGCGTTCGAAGTCCTGCGTGGGCCAAGAACCCGTTCAGCGGCACCAACGATATGCTCAGCTCGGCGTTCCTCGCGCTCGTCTATCTTACACTTGCAAGACCGGCCACCGCGCCGATCGCACTGCTGCGTGATGCGCTCGATGCGTTCGGCGCCGAGAGTCTGGACGCAAGGGATGTTCGCACGCTGTGCTCCCTTCTGCTTGGCTCCATCCTCCTGGCAGAGAAGGCGACCGTGTTGTCGAATCAGCAAGCGCAGCACGAGGTCGCCAAGAACGGCTCGGTCAATGGCAGCGCGAAGTCCAAGTCCAAGTCGGCCAAGAAGCACCAGTAGAACCGCTCCCCCCAATTCTCATTGCACGACTTGTCGCTCATCATTCTGTTTCACAAACTCGCCACGGGTGCCAAGCGTGAAAGAAGCACGATCGGGTTTGCAGTTGGATGAGGGCTTGGCAATTCACCAAATGCGCGATCGGATCATGTTGTATCGACTGACCTCCATGAGCGAAGTCTCCTTCTTGGGCTTGGCCGAGTCCATCTTTGCCTTGTCCCTTTCCTTCGCTGCGGGCAAAACATGCGAGCCGTCGAGTTTGATCTGCACCGCATCGTCGTCGGGCCTGTCGATGAAGCGACCTACCGACTTGTCGTAGCTTCTCTCGTCCTTGTTGGTGCCGATCGGCGCGCGATCTCGCGAGTTGAGGGCCTCTTCATTCTCGCGCTCGTGCATGCTCGCGTAGCGATGCGATGCAAAGCTGACCAGATTCGTACCGATCAGAAGCTTGATCGCCACCAAAAACGCCCACGCAATCACGGCGGTGAGGGCCCACGCGGAGCCGCGCACGAACAGGTCGAGTGCACGCACCCACTCGTTGTTGATGTCCACCGCGCCGAGCTTTCGCGCTACGACGCCGATCCAGCTCGTCTCGGAGATGCGCGGGTTGACGGGCGCGATGCACTCGTCAATGTGACTCGTGTCGCCAATCATGCCGATGATCTGCAGGATCAGCCGTACCAGCAGGCACGCTAGCGGCAGCGCAGCGAAGCCGAGTCGACGACTGATGATGGGGCTCTGGTCGACAAACGTGTGCTTTCGGCTGTTCTCCCTCGTCGACGGTCCGCCGACAACGAGGTCACGACAGAGCACGTCCATGAACCGACCGTAGACGGCGGGGCGGATGTGGTTGAACTTGGTGATGAAGGCATGCTTGAGCCAGTCGACGATGCACTCGCTCGCCAGCACGATCAGCACCGGCGTCAGCACCGTCTCGAGCAAGCTGAGGCTTGGGAACACCGTGAAGCTCGCCGGCAGCGGACTGGCGGATGGCTCTAGCGATCCGCCCGAGAGCTCGATGAGGTTGCGCAGGCCGATGGCCGAGAGCATAAAGGTGAGCTGGAAGCGCTCGACGATGTCGGCGCACGTCATCTGGAAGACGTTTTCCTTTTCGAACTTTTTGAACACGCTCGACTTGATCTCGACAAACTGGTTGGAGAGCAGCAGCGTGAGCAGTGCATTGTCGTAGCTGTTGATGGCCACGTTGAGCGTGACGAGCTGGTAGAAGAGCACAAGCGTGTGAGCGAGCACATAGCACAAGCTGAGGCCAAAGAAGCCGACCGGGCGAAGGTAGGGCTGCTTGCCGTTCTTGCGGCGCGCTAGGGTGCTCCGCGAGAAGAGCGAATCGAGCAGGTCCTGGCCGAAACTGCAGCACAGTCGGTCGGCGATCTCGAGCACGTTGAAGATGACCGAGAGCTTGACGACGTCTTGTCCGCGGACCGAGTGATACATCTTGCTAGCGTCGGTGATGCGCGAGAGGATGACGCAGCTGGATACGATGAGCAGCATCTTGAGTAGGTCGCACTTGTGCGACGAATGCAGGTAGCGCTTCTGCCCGCCCAAGATCCAGCGCGTGGTGTTGGTGAGCCAGGTCCACAGAGCCACACCGAAGCGCAGCGGCAGGATGGTGAAGGTGTACAGGAACGAGTCGAGACAGACGACGAATCCAAACATGATGATCTTCTCCATCCAGAAGGGGATCGAGATGAAGTTGGTGACGCGTTCCCACTTGATCTCCTGCGTGGCATCAAAGTCGGTGGCGAGCACCTCCTCCTTGAGGTAGTCCCACAGACTAAAGGGGGTATCGTCGGCGCGAGCCGTGTGTGCGTCGCCGTTGGCTGGAGGCACTGTTTCCTTCTTAGGCTCTGGTTCCTTCTGTGTTGAAAGGGGCGAGGCTGTCATCCTGGGCTCTTCTTGAAGCTGAGCCAAGCTGAGTCTGGGTGTCATGTATGCATCTGGAAGATCGTGGGGCTCGCTTTCCGATATCAAGGGCGAGGGCGCGAGGCCCGGATGCGTGGGCCTGATGTGCGGCGAAAGCATGCCGTTTTGGTTGCCTGGCGAGGGCGTGTTTGGCTCGGGCTTGACGTGCGTCGAGGTCGATCTGGGCGACAGAGCGGGGCGCTCAAAGTATGCGCTCTCGCGCTTGACAGGCGAGGCTGGAAGCTGACCGTTGGTCTGCATCGGGTCGGCGAGAGAGAAGCGTGGCGTCTGGATCGCTCTCGAGTCGATGAAGGTGTCTTCTTCGCCTTCGGATGACGACCTGAGATCGTTTTCACCCTTGACTGTGTCTGACTGCGGGTCGCCATTTGCAGCAAGCTCGCCACCTGAGGGAGGCTCGGAGGTGAAGCGGATGGAGTGTGCGCGTCCGCCGGCATCGGCCGTGTCGACAGACTCTGCGGTGTGAGGCTGGTAGTAGGAGTTCTCCCGATCTGTTGCAGACGTCTCGAAGATGGATCCTGGAGGACTAGCCGAGGTCTCGAATATCGAGCCCGGAGGGCTGACCGAGGTAGCATGTTCGGTGGGGGATGCGCTGCCGAGATCGTCTGACGAGGGTGAGGACGCAAATGACGAGAGCCCCGAGAGCAAAAGTGCACGCCGGCTTTTACGGTACTGCTGAGTAGCCTGACGGTAGGATCGCCCTGCGCGGCTCAGCTCGTGAGCATCTTGGTCATCGGAGGATTCTGAAGCCGAGTCTTCGTAGTCGGGACCTTCGTATACGACGTTGCCGTGTTCATCCATGAGTATGCTGTCTTCCTCGTCCTCCCAGACGTCCTCGTCTTCGTCGAGCGTGTGCCGCCCGTTGCGCGGCGTCTCTGCTTCCGTTGTGGCATTTTCGGGGTTGATGGCCTCGGTGATGTGTACCGGCGCAAGCTCTGGTGCTGGAGAAGGTCCGACGTCGGGCGCACGATCCGAGTACTTTGTGCGCACGGTGTCCTGGCTGGTGCGCGGCGCCGGGTCGTGAACCCTAGGAGTGGTGTGAGCTGGTACCGTACGTGCTGGCGACACGGGCGATGACGGCTGGGAGCCGTCAGGGTAGGAGCTCATGTGGTGGTGAAGGGGGCAAGCATGGATGCGGCCGTTCGCGAGGATGGAGGTGGGAGGGCAATGTCAACGTGGAGCAACAGAAGTGTGGAGGCGGCGCCGTGCCAAAATCGACATCGTTTCGCGGAATTCGGAGACGGAAGTCGGAGGTGGAGAAGGAGAAGGAGCGAGAGAGAGAGGCGAGGCGCTCTTATCTTTCTTCCTGTCATGCTTCCTGGACCCCTGCGCCTGCCCACCGCAGCAGATAAGGCGCGGCCATCTTCCCACTCGCAAGGTCGCCTCCTCTTCAGCGTCCGACTCCATTCCCCGCCTTGACAGGAATCGCAAGTGCTGCTCACCGGTGACAATGACGGGGCACGAGGACGAAGATGAGCGGCTGGAGCGACTCCACTTTGCCACGGTGCTCAAGGCGTTCGACGACTACCTTCCCTACTGTCTGTCGGCCAACGATACGCGGCGGCGCTCGTACTTCAGCCTGCCGATGGCTCACCAACAGCTGCTGTCCGATCTGGGTGCGCCTCTTCCGCTCCCAGCGCTGGAAGCCTCTTCTTCCACTTCATCGTCACCACCGGAGCCTTGGCGCGGGTTCAAGTCGCGGCTGGACGAGATCGACGACCGCATCCGTCGGAATGCCGGCCTTCTTTCTGCCATCGCCGACGAGTCGCGCGGCTTCCTTGGGCCCGAGCCCCTGGCCAGCAATGGCTCGAGCCCGCACGACGCTTCCACCTCGGGCGCCGACGATGCTTCGAACGGCGGCAAAGGGTTGCGAAAGCGGCGCAAGATTCCAGGCCACGAGATTGAAAAGATTCAAAGCACGCTCAAGCAATTTGTGCGCGATTGGAGTGTCGAAGGCCTGCCCGAACGGTCCGCCGTCTACACGCCCATGATCGAGGCGGTGACTGGACTGTACGGCGACAGTGACAAGCGCAGCCAAGTGCGGATCCTTGTTCCTGGCGCAGGGCTGGGACGCTTGGCGTTTGAATACGCCTCGTTGGGTTACACCTGCCAAGGCAACGAGTTTAGCTTCTACATGCTGTTGGCGTCGCACTTTATCCTCAACAAGACCACGCACGTCGGACAGCACGCCATCTATCCCTTTGTGCACTCGTCGAGCAACTGGCGCACTGCAGACGACATGCTTCGAGCCATCCGGATCCCCGACGTGCTGCCGTCGAGGCTGCCACCGACGAGCGAGTTTAGCATGGTGGCGGGCGAGTTCTGCGAGGTCTACTCGCAGCCGCACGAGGCCAAGGCATGGCAGGTGGTGGCGACGTGCTTCTTCATCGATACCGCCAAGAACGTGGTGCGCTACCTCGAGACGATCAACCATCTGCTACCCGTGGGCGGCCATTGGATCAACGCCGGCCCGCTGCTTTGGCACTTTGAAAATGCCTCGCGCTCCACGCCCACGCCCGACAACCTCAGCATCGAACTCACGCTCGACGAACTCGTCCAGCTGCTGCCCAAGATGGGCTTTGAGCTCGAGCAACGTCGCCCGCTGCCACCCACTCCTTACACGGGCATGCTCAACGGCATGCTCCAGTACCACTACTCGCCCGAGTTTTTCGTGTGTCGCAAAGTCCGCGACGTGCCAGCCGCTCCGGCGGTGTAATGGATGGGTAGATTGGGATTTTTGTCATTTTCGTAGAGTTTGCTGCCAAGGCACTACTGGCTTGTGTGAGCGAGCGGTGTGAGCGCTCAGACACGCGCCTTGGCGTCGGTCTGGGCAGCCTTGAAGCGCTCGTCGGCCTCCTTGAAGTTGATGACCGACCAGATGTTCTTAAAGTAGTCTACGGAGGTGTAAGGTGAAACAGCGTCAGCAAGTGCAGCGATTCGGAAGCGGAAACGGTACGATCCAACTCACCAGCCTTGACGTTCTTGTACTGGAGGTAGAAGGCGTGCTCCCAGGCGTCGACGCCGATGATGGGGTGGTGGGAGATGAGCGGGTCCTGGTCCTTGGTGGTGACCACCTCGAGCTTCGAGTTCTTGGGGTTGAATCCGAGCCATCCCCATCCGGAGCCCTGGATGGTGGCGATGGTGGCGTTGAAGGACGACTTGAGGTTGTCGAGCGAGCCAAAGTCGCGCTCGATGGCCTGCTTGAGCGGGCCGTCGTGGAGCTGTCCGCCGCCCTCCTTGGCGGGGGCGAGGTTCTTCCAGAAGAGCGAGTGGTTGATGTGGCCGCCGCCGTTGAACTTGATGGCGCTCTGGAGCTCGATCTGCTTGCGCACGTCGTTGGACGAGATGGCCGAGTTGTAGGCCTTGATGGCGTTGTTGAGGTTGGTGACGTAGAGCTGGTGGTGCTTGGTGTGGTGGATGGTCATGATCTCCTCGGAGATGGCGGGCTCAAGGCCGTTGTAGGCGTAGGGCAGCTGGGGGAGAGTGTGCTCAGACATGGTTGCGATGGAAAGAATGATTTGGTTTGGGGGGTGGTGGAGGGAGAGAAAGTGAGCGGCCGTGCGCTGACTGGCGCTGGAATATATAGCGAGCGCGGCGAACGAGCCAACCAGTTGGCTGCGGGCCAAAAGAAGGCGTCTTTGCCTGCAATCAAGGCAACATTGGGCGCAGCAGCAGCAGCAGCTTCTCAGCCGGGATCGCCGCCCACGGCTTGTCGTGAAAATCGGCTGTCGGGCCTGTTAGGCTGGCTGAGTAAAGTCCGAAAAGCGCGCCATCCATGCCTGGCGCGGCGCCCCCCGCCACTTCCATTCCACCCGGACTCGCCGCGGCCTCTCCGGCAGAGCATCCAAGCTTCGGCCGTCTTCGCTCTTTGGCCTTCGATCAGAGGCCCAAGCTGGGGTGGCGCCATCCTTCCAGCCTTGTCGCGAGTCAAGTGGAGCAAGCGGAGCAAGCTGGTCCGTGCCCTTCCACCATTCAATACACACCGGGCCTTGACGCTGCCCAGCCTTGCCCCTTCCTCTTCTGGTGCCCAACACCACCACAAACTCTCCAATACGAAGAAGGCCTCGACTCCAGCACGTTTTTGGCAGGACAACGCTTTCACACAATAATCAAGGGCTCATAACTGCAAATATCAGGCTGGCTTTCAAGCAAGCATTGATAGTGTAGGGGTATCATGAG